CATAACTAAAAGAAGGGTATATCAAAGAAGATAGAACAAAACACATTTCACAAAATTCTTCTTCACTCATGATCTTCAAAAAGGTTGTGAAATCAACATCCGGCAAATCCGTTCCAATGAAAATCTGACAGATTTGTTCACCAACTCACTTTCTTGTACAATATTTGAAAAACTTGTTCATGATATCGGATGACGTAGATTCAAGGATATCAACTGATGTTACTAAGAGAGGGAGTTAACACCTGTTGTACTCTTGTTCCTTGACTATGATTTTTATCTTACTGCGTTTTTCCTAGTAAGGTTTTTAATGAGGCAACATTAGATAGTATATCAATAAATGTGTACTCTTTTTTTCCCCCTAGGTTTTTATCTTATGGGGTTTTTCCTAGTGGAAGTTTTTTAACAAGGCACATATTTGTATAATGGACATCTAAGAGGGAGTGTTATGAATATTATGTGGATGTCCATTTAACCCTTCCTCTTCGTCTTCACCAAGTAACTTTCACTACCTCTACCATACATTACTCCTCCACTATCCATCAGTCCTCCACTATCCATTTAATATTGTAACTCACCTCTATTCACATTCACGAGATTGATTATCCACTATTTGTCATTTAAGGACAATTATAACTTATGTGTAATACTATGCCTATAAATAGGGCGTGTCATTTGTGTTGTAGTACAAGTGAGAAGTACAATAGTTCTCTTATTCTCTTGTCTTCATCTTTCTCTGCTCTACTTTTACGGTTTGATTTTGGTTTCATTTCATAAGAGTGATGAGTTTGTACTGTTTTATTCTGTTTATTTTGAATGAAGTAGTTGGTGATTCTGTTTAGAAGAAATAATTAACAATTCCCAAAAAATAGGAGGAAGTGGCTTGTAATATATTTTTATTAAATTCTTGTTTTATAGTAATATTTTAATATAAGGTTATAATATATTAATCTAACGATCTACCATTACGGCTCAACTTTGATTAATTTGGGTTTGAACAGAACTGTTATACACTGTCAGCTGCCTCGTCCTGTGCTACATTTATCACGTAATTCATAACTTTATATTATATTTGTTCAAGGGAAAACGGTGGGAAAAAAATCATGAAAATTATAAAATTGTAAGTCAGGTATTTTATAAAAAAATTGTTCATTTGCCATTTGATTATTCTCAAAGCTTATACAAATCTTTTAAGGAGTATTAATTTACAATTTCACAATTTTCAGAGTTTTGTTTTGCGATCTCCCCTTTGTTTTATTTTATATGTATAATTTTGTTCACCATCAATTTTACAGTGGAGGATTTAAATTCAAGTTTGTAGTTTCACGTAAAAAGGGCATCTCCAGTCCCCATTTTTCCTTCCCTCCATTTTTATTTACTTATTTCCAACATTAATATTGAAATTTAAAGTGTTCAGATTTTATATTTCAAAAAATAATTTTATAAAAAATTTTATTATTGTTTTTTAGGTTAAAGTATACATTTAATTTTATGAAAAATTTCAATTTAGTTTTTTAATTTTAAAAAGTATACTTTTAGTCCTCAAATCCTAAAATTATTAATAACAAATAATGACATTGATGTTTTAAATATTAATAAAATATTTTTAAATACTAACATATTAAATTTAATTTTTAAAATAATCAAAAAATTATTATTTAAGTCTAGAGATTTTAAGTTGAAAGGACCAAATATATTAATTTTAAAGTTAAGAAAATTAAATTAAAACCTTATATAAAATTAAGTATTAAATTTAGTTTTTTTCCCCTCCAAAAGCAGGGTACTGCTTATCACTCCTCTGTCATATCTATACATGATGCCAATCTCTATCATATCTACACCTGATAACTATACGGCCTATCACTTTCTCATTAATTCCAACCAGTAAGATTAAAATTTAAATGGTTTAGATTTTACATTTTAAAAATAAATTTATAAAATATTTTTTATTATTATTATTTTTTAAGTGGAGAGACTGTTTATTACTTCTCTATCTTATATAAACCTTATACCAATCTCTATCATGTTTATACCTGATATCTATATCACTTATCACTTTCTCATTAAGTTCAACCATTAATATTGAAATTTAAACTGTTCAAATTTTACATTTTGGAAAATAATTTTATAAAATATTTTTTTATTGTTTTATTTAAGTGGAGAGACTGCTTATCAATCCTCTATCATATCTATACCTGATACCAATCTCTTTCTCATTAATTTAAATTGTACTGTTGAAAATGCATTCGGCTAAGATCTAATGATGGCCTATATCCACACCGAAAAAGCATCAATATATTCCCTTTTCCTTGGAACTCCATAACCCTTCTTCACATGAGATTGATTAATAAATTTTTTACTTTTCTAAAATTAAAGTGTTTTCATTACATTTTAAAGTTGTAATTAGTCTTGAATTTAGGGAGGTAAGATGTACTCCTCCGGCCCTTAATATAAGACCCATTTAACTAATTTAATTAAATTAAGGAAGTTAGGTAAGTTAGTTAATTATAAGAAATGTAACACATTTTTCCTAAAATACCATAATCATCTTTCTTAATACCCTTTCTTCTTTTTCTATTTGATTATGGTTGAGGGAGTATCCATAGGGGTAATTTAGAGAAAATTGATAAATATGATAAATGGGTCTTATATTTAGGACCAAAACCAACTCAACAATTGGGTCCTATATTAAGAACCGGAGGAGTATTGTTTTCCTTTTCTTGGATGCGTGCTTGTACTTTTTCTCATTTAAATTTAATACACACTGGCATGGACTCATGCATTCCTTTTTCTTTTTTCTTTTCCCCTCCTTTGGTGCACTGAACTAATTAATTGTCAGGGGTTCTATTCTTTGATTAATTCTCAAGGGTTCTATTGTACTTTTTCTCATTTAAATTACTAACACCTTTGATTATATTTTGTTGCTTTGTATAAAATATCAAGGGTTCTATTCTTTCTTGACAAGATTGAATATTCTTGATCTAGATGATTACTAAATTAGAGTGATTTTTACTATCTTTATCTATTTTTAAACCAAAGTAAAATCAATTATTTAACTCAAGTATTATTCAAGGGAGTTATATCAATTCTAGTTAAACATAAAAAATCATGGATATAGAAGACAAAAGCTAAAACAAATGAAGGTGGAGAAACAGACTTATTATGTAATTTCAAAAGAAGAAAAGCAACATGCGAACAAAACATTGACGGCGGCCACATTGGGAGGGGAAGAAGTTTCCATTGACATTGGCTACAGATACCCCTTTGATATGTTTTTCACCAAATATGATATCTGAAGCCGTATTTGTCCTTGTCAATGCTTTTTTGTGAAAGGGACCTGTTAAAAAGGAATTTATTGTGGGACCTGATTATTTGTTGGTTAACTTTACTAAATTTCTAGTTAAAAAGGTATTTGTTGTGGGACCTGAAGCCATATTTGTTGATCTCAAAAGCAGGACGCCTTATGTATTTTGTGGTTTTATCTTTTTCAGTTTAAAGGTCGAAAATTTTTAATTCAGATGATAATGCATGACTTTTGTTGAGTCAAAAAAAGAATCTAGTCTGATATAGTTCATGAGGTTGATACCCATTTCTTGGACAAAATCTTCCAATATTTGTAAGGTAAAAATTAATCAAATTTCTTGAACTAAGAAGAACATAAAATGATCAAGGGAAATGCTACTATGCAAAAGCTTTTGTCGCAAAAAAGAAAAAAGATATGCGTGTTGAAGAACACAGTATTTTGGGTTACTTGCATAGGATTTGTGTCAACTCACACACTCTTCTTAATTATTGTTCATATTGTGAAAATACGATAAGATCAGACTGTTTCAAACAAGAATATTAAATATGAAACAATTTGAGATTAGGTTAAATTTCAGAGACAATGTATTTTATAACTAATACAAATTATTATTTCATCATAAATTAATAAGAAAGCGATATTATTATTTAAAAATAAAAGAATTAAAGAGAAAAGTAGACATTAAGCCAAGACAATTTACAAAAAACTAACCTTGTGGAAGAAGACGAACAAAGGTTGAAGATATACAAAATGAAGGAGCTAGGCAAGACGCATTATCCAGATTTTCAACAAGTGTCAAGTGATGATTAATACAAATCAAGACAAAGATTATGATTTAAAGATAATTCTATTTATAAAATAACATAATAATAATGCAGACCATATATCACTAATGCTATAAGATATAATATAAGATATTTTATATGAATATCCAAAATCAAACATGAATATCTGGTTAAAAAAAACATGAATACAAGGATATTTTTCATACAATGCCTATGTCAAATAATAGTAAACATGAAATATTCAAATCAAAATTCATCTTCGTATAAAACTTAATAAAAACCATTAATGTAAAAAAGAGTTGACTAATTTTAATCAGATAAAATAGTTTATATGATATAAAAATTATCTAAAATAAATTGGATGGAACTCGTTAAATATCACACATTTTATTGAATAAAATAAAAGCTTGTATGTATAAATAAAATCAAAATCCAATTTCATCTAATACAAATGTCAAATGGTTGTAATTGAAATTCGTCTAACACTCAAATATATCTGTCATAATTTCAGAGTATTTATTTAAAATGTTTAAGAATTATTAGGAAATTTATTATCTTATATTTTCTTTAAAAAAAGGACAAAAGGTGCATTAGAAATTTAGAATTTCCACATTTAAATGTGTGAAATATACATATTTAAAATATGCATTCATATTTTATTATATGAATAAACAAAACATGGCACGAAAGATATCATGATATTTCTCACATAACGTGCGAAATTGTAAATATAAAAATCAAAATAAAACCAATTTTATTGGCCAAAAGTTTATATAAAAGTAATAAAAACTATTAAAACCATTAAACATATATAAGATATTTTATTTTGGTAAAAAAATATAAGATTTTATTTGATACCAAAACAGTTCGTTATTCCCCCTCGGGTCGAAGCCTTCGCACCTGCTCGGCACTCACTCGGGCTTTGCTGTTCGCTTCTTCTCGTCACTCCCAGACTCACCGTCGGCGTCCGTTTCTTTCAGGTACGGTTCTGCTTTCGTCCCTTCTTTTTCTCATTGGTCGCTACGTCGCATAGAGTACAAGGGTTCTTTTTTTTTTTTTTTTCCCCGTCGACAACATTGAATATCCTTGATCCCAATGATTACTAAGTTTTAGTGATTTTTGCTATCTTTATGAGCAAACTAAAATCAATTGTCAAGTTCAAGCATTTTTGTGATATTACTTAAGGGGACTCAAGATCCATGGATAATGCTGGTAGAGGACGCAGTAGGCCAAAGCGGAAGAGGTTGGAGAAAAAGACTTTAAAAGAAGAGCAAAATGCGAACCAAACGTTGACTGCAGCAACATTGGAAAAGGGGGAACTTTCAATCGACATTGGGCAGAGAGATATCCCTTTGGTTCGTTGTTCACAAAATGTGAGGTCTAAAGCTATATTTGTTCTTGACAATGCTTCCTTGCAAAAGGGCCTGGTTAGAAAGGTACTTGTGTGCTAATTAATAATCTTTACTGCCCAATCCTTGTTTATGGGCTCCATTGTTTATTGGTTAACTTTGCTGATTTTTTAAGTTGTGAGAAGATGGTTAAAATTTGTTTATCTCAGTTCTAGTGCACCTTATTCATTTTGTAGTCTTCTTATGTGCTTCGTTCAGGAATGGAAAATTCTGAATTCAGATGATGATGCCCAACTTTTGCTAAATCAGCGGAAGAATCTTAATGATTATCGGCCTGACATAGTTCATGAGGTTGGTATATTTCCTGAACAAAATCTTCCAATATTTTTAAGATAAATTAATCAAATTTCTTGAACCAGAATGAACATGAATAGATGAAGAGTAATGCTATCTATGCAAAAGCTTTGGTCACAAAAAAGTATTAAAGAACATAGTGGTATGGGTTACTTGCATAGGATTTGTGTCAATTCACGCATTCTACTCTTAATTGATCATAATTTAAAAATAGGCTACCTACTATTGTATTAGACAATACCTACATAATGCTCAAAATAAACAGTTATCTTTGGAATTTTACAGGCTCTCCGCTCCATTTTAGACAGCCCGCTTAATAAAGCTGGCATGGTAGCAGCTATATATGTCAAAATTGACAAAGGACTTCTTTTTGAAGTCAGACCACATGTTCGACTTCCACGAACATGTAAGCGATTTTGTGGTGTCATTTGTAAGTATTCCTTTATGTGACTCTTTCTTCCTTCATTATTTTTTCTTCCATAGGCCAATTGATGTTTATTTTATATCTTATTATGAATAATGAGATCCTTTTTTCCTAAATTTTACTTTGGTCTTATGCAATACTCTAGTGGAATTGCTTCAAAAATCCCGTGTGTATGCAAAAGATACAAATGAAGTACTCCTTCGTGTTCTTGAAGAACCTGTGACACGCCATTTACCAGTCAATTCTCACATAATAGGCGGGTTATTTTACTGTCTGGTGCTTTAAGTTTTTTGCTATCTTACTGCTTTGGCTAGCTGATGAGATGTAATCATGTTGTTTTGAGGGGATGCAGGTCTCTCTTATAACTCAGAAAGGCTAGTTGACATAGAGGATTATGTGTCGGCTATGGATTATGCTGTTAGTCCTGTATACGTGGTATGGTTCAATTTTATTAACGGCTTAATGTGGCAGAAACTCTATGTTCAAACTAGGTGTGATATTTGGGCTTCAATCATTGTGATAGATTCCTATGTGTTCTCAGGTGGGTGCAATGGTGAATGGGAGTGTAAAGAAGGACTATATGCATGATTATATCTCAGGTAAAGGCTTTTGAAAATGGTAAAAGTAACTACACCTTCCAGAAATTTTCAAATCCCACCTGTATAGGTTGAATTTCAATTCTTTTTCTAAAACTTTTCTGACTTATATTACCTTAGGGGTTTTGAAATCCTAGTCTAGTCTGAACAAATATTTTTCCTATGAAGTAATTCAAATGTTGTGGAAAAAATTATTTTTCTTACTTAAATTACTTCATCTACAAGTAATCTTAAAGCTTAATGTCCTTGTATCCATATTTCCACATTTTCTACTCTCACTCTATCTGGGGGCTTGTGGATCTTAATGCTTGTGTTCTAGACATAGTTATCAAGTTGATATATGTATAGCAAAGTGAAAATGTTGTTTTTAACTTGCTAATCATATCATTAATAACTAAAAAGTTCTAATTTATAATCAAAATACTCAAGAAGAGTGCTCGAGGGAGCTATGGAGTCATAGATTCATTAGTAATTTGCTGCTGTGATGTGAAACAATACGGCATTTATATCTAACTATCCCTCGTAAGAGTCAAATATCGTCATCGTCATCTAGCATGATTCTTTTCATTTGCTTCCTCAAATCCCAAGCTCTGCTTTTCATTTCATACTTCGGTTTACGGGATTCCTCAAGTCATCCTGGAATTAGTATTAGTATTACCAATTCTCCTACTAAAACAGTCGTGAATCAAGCAATTGAACAGCACTTATATCCGTCATTCAGACGTTTTATCGCTGACAACATCTTTTTACTGTTTTATTATGGTATACTTAATGTAAGTTGTGCTAATATTTTTTGTTTTGTTGTTATAGTTTCTGGTTATCCACTTTCTGCCAAATGCTGCATAGGACTGATCTGTGAGGCAATGGAGCAAAAATGGAATATCTTTTGAATGCATTCCATCAAGTAGTAGGTCAATTAGAAGGACCAAAAGTTTATTCCTTATTTATGTCAAAGTTCCAAATGCAACTGAAGATTCTTTGGCTGATTTTAAACCTTAAATTTGGAGTATATTAAAGATTTTAGCACTTTCTCTTGTTTCCCTAACTCCGTGAAGTATTGTGTGTAAATTAATAGTAAGAGTGCATTTTTTTGGCCAGAAAAGATTTGTTTGGTTTTGATGTGCTTAAACATAAGGAATCTAAAGTTGTGCATGACTTTTGTAGAATGGTGAATTTTGGAATCACTCTTGTTCAATTTTTTTTTATATTCGACGTTTTATTTCATGATTTTGACAAATACTTTTTCCTCTTTTCAAGCGTCATTTTATCTTAGTGTATATCTTTGAATAAAGTTTTTAATATAATGAAAGCGGATGGGATAGGATGGAAAAAAAGGGAAAATCTTCATTTAAAAATTAAATAACAAAGGTGATGCAAACCAAAGAATGTCAGGGATCACTAGCTTATTACAACGAAAGTAAATATGAACAAGCAGAAGACATCAGATGTGCCTTTAACATGATGCTCACAAGCAGTGCAATAGGATTCATTTGTCATATGCCTTTGACTTTCCTTATTAATCAAATGGTGTTTTTGGAGACGAGCCACAGCAAGCTTTTGATTTATTCGGCACTAAGCCAACACCAAGCTGATTTCCATCTAGAATCTTTGCAAGAGCAAGAATTCTCTCATAAAAACCATGTAGGCTGAAGATACATGGAAGGAACAAGAACTTGTGAGATTCTCATGACATGATAGGTAGTTGGAGCCTAGTTCTGGCTATTGGAAATAATACTTGAAGAAAGTGGTCAAACTTGTTCCATACCCATTGTTCATAGGGCTAACAAATTTGCAGATAAGAATTAAAAGCGCCTCACTAGATATGTCTGCAAAAGTAATCAACATAAGAGGATCATGTCTCCCATCTGATGTTATGGAAACTCGGACCAACCAGGCCGAGTTGACCCAACCACTTGGTTGATTCGGACAAGTAGCTAACCCGAGGAGAAATTGATCTAGTGCAACTTGGGATTACAAAAAATAGGAAACAAATTAAACCAAATAATGATAGCATATCAGGAGGCATTCAATATGGAGGTCATGAAGTTGAAATAGCACTCATTCAGTTAGAGGTCCTACAGGCCCTCCAGAGTATTCAAGAAATTTATAACTTGAGAATCCTTATATGGAGGAGGACATGGATCATTGCTTGGATGATGACACAAACACATGCGGAGCTTAACATGACATATGGAAGGCCACCTCGAAAGCCACCATAGCATGTAAGTCATTGGAATATGGACATTTGGACCTTGAGGAAGATAAGAGGACGTTCTAAGAGTCCAAAAAGAGCATTTGAAGTTAATTTCTATGTTATTAAAGGCCCAACAAAGTTACATGCGCTTGAAGAAGTTCATTGGAAGTATAATCTTTTAAATTGGGGCCCAAATGCATTATGTTATGGACCATGTGAGTTTCAAAACGTGATTCAATTATATTCAGGCCCAAATGCATGTCTAGAAGGGCCATACGTGCTTATGAATGTGAATAGTAATTATGAAGATCCATTTGAAAGGTCCAAGAAGCATCATGAGTGATCTTATATGACATTAAATAGGATTCTGTTTGTTTTAATTAGTTTCTTGTTTTACAGTTTCCTATTTTGTATTGATTGCTTCTTGAAAGCAAAGTGTTACCTAATATATATTTCATTAATTAGTAGAGTCAAATAAGATCCTTATCATTAATGATGGGATCCTCTTAGGTAGTGAGTGATCTAGATTATTCTGTCTTGACTAGCAAGTTAGAGTATTTTAGAAGGTCTTTTGATTTTCCTATTTTTGTTATATTTTGGCATCTATTTTTGACGTATTCTATTTAGTTAGTGTTTTAAGTTCTAATAGCTTATAATGGGCATTTAGGGCTTAAGATACCAATTAGGGTTTTCAAGAGTTTTAGTCTATAAATAATTTAGTATGTACTCTTTACAAGAGAGGTAATTTAAAATATTAATAATATGATAATTTTATTTCTTTTTGTGTGAGCTTTGCTTGCATTCTCATATTCTCCTGAGAATACTAGACAATATCAAGGAAATGATCAACCTTATGATGTTTTCATGGCCAGAATTGTAAGAGATAGGTTCTCTTAAGGTCCTACCTCGATCATCTGTTTTGTTTCTTGTATTTGGGGTTACAAGAGGCAAGTTCTCTCAAGGTGTCATTCCATCCTATACTTGATTCTAGCCAGTCAGTACGTTTCCCTCATATCAAGTAGTATTAGAGCCAGGTTTGTTAGATTTCAAGTTTTATCCTTTTGTATTTTCATTCTTTTATTCTTTGTTGCTTCTGTTTTCCTTTTGTTCTGTTCTCCTTTTTCTGTCTTCCTCATTTCTTCCTTATTTTCATCCCTTTTGTCTTTTTCTTCCCTTTTCATCTTCTCCCCACCCGTTGTTTGTGTTTGGTTGACTTGCTTTATTCTTTTTAGAAGGAAAAAGAAAAAGAAAAAAATTCGTGCAAGAAGAAAAAGAAAAAAAGGCGCAATTGTGTTAGGAAAAAAATGGTTGCAAAATTGCCCCAAAAAAAGGAAAAAATTTCCGAACATTAAAAAAAAAAAAAAGAGTAAAGAGTTGCAATTTTGGAATACTGCAAAATAAAGGCAACCTTCCCAATTTGAGAATGCTTCCATTACAAGTCACAAATAATTTTCTAAATCTTTAGGTTTAAATGGTAAGACTCCTTCTTTTCTATTTTTTACTTTCCTTTATTTAATTTTGTTTTCTATTTTAATTTTCTTTTTCTTTTATATTACTTTCTTATTTTGTCTTTTCTTCAGTATTTTTTTGTTTCCTATTTCTTTTTCTTCCTTTTTATACTATTTGTTTAATTTAAGTCCTTTTCTTGTAAGTTACTTACTTTTTTAAAGTGCTTTCAATATAGTAGTACCTTTCCTAAAGTCTTTGTTTCCACTTTTTTTTCTTTCCACACTCATATTTGTGTCCCTTAATTTTTTGCTCCTTTTTTATACGTTTTCCTTCCTTTTCCAATTCTTATTTTTCATAATATACTTCTCTTCCAGGTTTTTCTCTATCCCCCACTTTCATTCCCTTTCTTTTCTCTCATAGTTTCTTACCAATTCTAGTTGTGAAGATTGCCACAAACTAATATTGTCTCTTGTTTTTGTTAAGTTTCAATCAAGAATATTATAGGAGCCAAGCTTGAGTGGTTAAAAGCAAGAGTGTTTTGCGTCAATTTAAAAGCCAAATTTAAGAGAAACACGAGTGGCTGTTTTGAGTGAAACACGTGAGTAGAGTGGTGAGGTCCATTCTTTCAAGGTACTAAAAACCGGACCGGTCACTAAATCAGTTAAGACAGTGGGTCAAGGGTTTATGGGTCAAACTGGGGTTGAATCGGAGTTAGACTATTACTAATTAAAATAATATATTTTCAAATTTATATTGATTATTTTAAATAAAAATAAAAATAAGATATAAAAATAAATGTCAGATAATAATAAATACATAATATTTACATATAAAATAAATAATGTGACTTATTTTGTAATTATGATAATATATATAATAAAAATATATGTTTCAAAAGTTATATATAATAAATATGTGTTTTCTCTTAATATCTTAAAGGTTTTTATCTGGCAAACCTAAATCGTGCTGTAAGCTAGTTGATATATTATTAATGTTACTTTAATATATTTGAAATTTTATTTTTCTCTCCTCTTTTTTATTGTTTCCAAGGCTTCTCACCATTTTCTATGTCCGAACCCATTAAGTCAAATCACATCAATGTCTCTTCTTTTTTGCTCTTTCTTCTTTCTCTATTTCTTTTCTCTTTCATTTTCGTTTCAGATTCATTTCTTTTCCTCCATTCTTCGTTTTGATGCCACCAATAGTCCAGAACTCCTTGCCTCTATTTCAAAGATGCTCGTGGGGTTAGAGAAAAGTGAATGACTTGTAGCTGCAAAGGATCAGAAAGGTGAACTTGTAGAGCCAGAAGAAGAAGACAATGGCCTTCTTTTTTGTTTTTTTGGTTTCTTCTTCTTGTGACTCTATATCTGATAGTTTCTTCTCTTTCTTGTCTGGGGTTAGTCTGCCAAACCCAACGGATTATTTGGTCTATGTCCGGTTCATACTGGGTTAGGATGGTTCACAACGGTTCAAAATTTTCCTAGTTTAGGTGATGAACCGGACCGGACAAATGGCTTATTCGTCAGTTTCTGATCTGAATCAGCTGGTCCAGTCCGATTTTGTGAACACTGCAGTTTTCTCTTTGTTTCTAACCTTTCAGATACCAAATATGTATGGTCATAAAAAGCTTACGGAAGATCTCAAATCCTTCCTAAATCAAAAGCTAAATGTTAAAGTAGACCATTTGAAGTCTAATCACAATTCTAAGTCTAAAAGAGATATACATAGAAGATTGCAGGAGCTAAAACAAGGTTTCATGAATGTTGAGGATTATTATCATGAGATGGAGTTAGCAATGACTTGAGCTGGTATAAAAGAGACTCTAAAACCCACTATGGATCGTTTTATATGTGGGCTTAATCCTAGATTAGCTCGTGTTACAAAAATGTGTAGCTTCATGGAGATTGAAGATTTGGTTTGTCTACTTAGCAAGCATAAGTAAGAACTCAAGAGAAAGAAACATTCAGAAAGACAATGCTCCTCTTTAAAGAAAAACAATCAAGATTTGAGGACGAATCTTTTCGAAGAGGGAGAGAATGATAGCATAGTAGGAGGCGTTCAATGTGGAGGTCATGAAGTCGAAATAGCACTCATTTAGTTAGAGGCTCTACAAGCCCTCTAGAGTATTCAAGAAATTTATAACTTGAGAATCCTTATATAGAGGAGGACATAGACCATTGCTTGGATGATCACATGGACACATGCGAAGCTTAACATGACATATGGAAGGCCAACCCAAAAGCTGTTGTGGCATGTGAGTTATTGGAGTATGGACACTTGGACCTTGAGGAAGACAAGAGCACATTCTACGAGCCTAAAAGGAGCATTTGAAGTCAATTCCTATATTATTAAAGGCCCCACACAATTACATGTGCCTAAAGGAGTC